GGCTTGTGTGGCTTAGTGGGCTAAGTGTCTGTGCTTGGGATCAGAAAGTCATGGGTTCAAGCCCAGCCTTGGTCTGCCTGTTGGTTTATATGAAAAGAAGGGTTAAGGGTTGTGTATTATTGTTGTGAGTCTTGCTGCTCTCACACTTGTTTAATAATAAGGTGGGGGCCCTAAGTGTTGCTAACCACCCCCCTACTTTAACTTAGTGGGCTAAACCTCTGGACCTGTGATTAGAAGGTTGCTGGTTCAAGCCTGGTCTTGATATGTCTGAGCTTGCTTTCAGTGAAGGGAGTCAAAGGAGGTTTTTCTTAGGGGATTAATAAAGTGTCAATTATTATTTCCTTAAAGTGCTTGTCCTGTTAATCTTGGACCAAGGTAAGGTACACTGTTTTCAGACTGGGGTGGTGGGGAACACACTATTGTCGGTGGGGGTGTGAAGTTTGGCCTAACCCTAATTCCCATAGACTTTCTTTTCCAGGGGTGATATGTATGAACCTACTTCCCTCTTGGTTTTATCATTTCTTGGCCAGACCACCCACCATAACCTGACTAATGATTTTAACGCCATTAACACCTGTTGAGTGGGATGACAGCTCGGGAAAAATGATGAACAAAGGAAAAGGTATTTTGAATGGCAGGTTCAGTTTCTGTCAGATGGGTCCATCGGCCAGACCGAAGATATTCGCAGTTACTGTCGATGTAAAATGAGTTACCACCGAAGTACATCTAGTCTTAAATACCAGGCTGCGGCTCGTCTCAGAACGATACACGCATTCGCATTTTCATGTCTTAACATATTATGATAATACTTTCATAAATTTAAATAATTTATTTATGGGTTAATTATTTTTTTTATTTTTCCATTTAGGTATTTGTTTAGCTATATGTAAATGAGGCAGTCCGTAGCTCCGCTTCTCTGATGTTATTATATTATTTATTATAATAATACTAATAATGCAAACAAAATCAATTCTTAATCTATAGCTACTAAATGGTGTCTCCCGTTGGGGGACACTAGGGGGCGCCCCACCTGCCATCCCGTGAGCGGTGCAGGCTACCATGGTAGCTGCTCATTTTGCTATGGACGCTGCCGGCGCGGCTGCGCTGCTCGTCCAGCATGGCCAGATGGGTGGAGGAGGCGTGCGTGGACGTGCCCTGCGTGGACGTGCCGCGGGACTTGCGTGCGATGGGCACATGGACGTCACGCAGCAGCGACTGGGCGAAGTCAGGCTCCTGTAGCACCTGCCGGCTCTCGTTGACGCCGCTGCTGTGTGAGGGGAAGCGGAAGATGGGAGCGGCTGAGACGTCGCAAATCCACATGATTATTTCAATATTAAACCCTTTTAAGTTGCTTTGCTTCAAAATGGGGAATATAAATAAAATATGAAAAAAATATCGCTCATGCAGGCTGCTACTGCAATGGTGCTAAAACTAAGGGAAAATGGGGAGGAGCATCAGCACAGCGAATCGAAGACTTACATTTAACAAACACTTTTATCAAAAGCAACATATAATATAAATCGGTGTCAGACTGTCCCTGGAGCAATCGGCAGTTAAGGGCCTTGCTCAGGGGCTCAATGGTGAAATCACTCTATTGACCCTGGGATTCGAACCAGAGACCTTCGGATTACAGGCACAGCACCCAAACCCACTGAGCAGTGTCACGGGAGGCGGCGGTGACGACACGTGAGGGTGACAGACAGCCCACTCACTCTTTGTGCTTCCTGTGGCCATGGAAGAAGCTGGCCCACTCAAAGCAGGTCTTCTTGCTGCCCACCCAGAAGACCGAAGGGATACCCACCACCAGCACCATGAGGTACTTCATGAGGAACAGCACCAGGTCTGGCCTGCTGGTCTGCTCCACCTGTCCCAGGGAGGCAGAGGGAGAGAGGGCTGCATGATGGGATGTGCAGTCCATGCTCTTGAATGTTATTATTCAGACATTCATTTCCTTAATATTTTAATATTCTGTATTTCAGTATATTCCATCTTTGTCCTGTGTACTTTTTTAAATTAAAATTAATGTGCACCATATTTACACTATATGTATGTTCATTTGTGCTCTATGTGCTGTATACACAAGAAAAATAGTTAAAAATCTTAAAATGTATGAATGCCAGAATGTTTTACTGTTGGCCACCAACTGTAAACTAATCACATACTATAATAAGAATACCTGAATACAGGCAGCCCCCAGGTTATGAATGGGATTCCCAAATCTGTCTAAGTTTAATTTGTAGGTAAGCTGGACAAAATAATTATACAGTATGTACATAATAATAATTACGTTTACAATAAAAGTAACTACAGACGGTACTGTACTGCACCTGGAACCGACTAGGCACTAAAGCTGCGCAGTGTTTTCACGAGGGTCACGTGGATCGCATTCGTTCGTTATTACGAACGATTAAGGACGGACAAAATGACTCTTTGGGACACAGCACATTTGATTCAGTTCACCTATAAGATTAGTTCTGATTTGTTGATAAACTCTTTCTTCTTATTTGCGTAAAATAGATATATTGTGTACCAATATGTAGAAAAAAATAGTACTGCTAAATACAGTTTGTTATTAAATTACAATTTTAGTCTTGGCAACGCTGTACCTTAGCTACTCATGTTTGTTAATAACGCAAGCCTGAAAGCTCATTACAAGTCCAAACTCTAATGTACCTTGGTTAAATCATTATAAACTGCAACATACGGGAAGTTGCTACACACAAAGGCTATGTACTACACCAGTAGATGGTGTATTTCAGTCACCAAAGTATGGCTCTCTCATTCGGATATGACCGAGAGGGAGTCCAGGCGAATGAGAGACTCTCAGTTGTTCATTCGGTGTAGGCGTATATGTTCAGTCCCAGGTTTAGTTTCCATCCAATCAAATGCTCGCTTACAGCAAGCCCTTACGAGTCCATTGGCTCATACTTCACAATAACTTATCATCCTCAGTGTTTGTTTACAGTTAATTGCGTTTCAACCTTATGACGTGCCATCATATTTAGTAGTTTCGTGAATGTTTCAATATCAAAAGCTCCAAAGTGAATTTGGCCATACAGAGCAAACATGGATGCGACTGTGCTGTTGTTGCCTAGTAACAAAAGAAAAGGGCACTAATTGTAAACAAGAATGAGAAGCCAAGCTGGCACAGTGCCAGCGCTTATTAGTCAATTTCATGCAAAATCACAACAACATCTTCTGCGAAAGATGCGACTCGATCCATTTTGAAAAATGTGTAGACTTCATGCGTTTCATGAAAGATTCTTGTTGAAGTAACAAAATTATAACCATCCATACTCCCTAACCCTCACCCCAGTCAGGGTAGCAGGGGACTTGAAGAGCAGCCCAGATACTGTGGGGTACACACTGGATGGGAGGCCAGTGCACTGCAGACCTCATACACACACAGTCACACACTAGAGACGCCGATTAGCCGAACTGCATGTCTTTGGATTGTGGGGGTAACAAGAGAGACCTGATGAAACCACAAAACACTCAGAACATGCAAACTCCATACAGTCAGCAAGGGTCAGGCTTAACCAGCCACACACGGCCCCTACAGACAAAAGACTTACTTATTAATTTACTTTTTTTAAAAATCGCTGGTAAATCACTCTCCTCGAAACGTGACATAGTTGTACAATCAGTTGCCTGTCTGTACGTTTGTTTGTCAGTTTCCAGACCAAGACTCCACATCTCACTGCTGATCTTCTTTCTGATAAACGTGAACGCTGCAGCTCCACCTAACCCCCCCCGTCCCTGGGCTCTGCAGCCCTGGTAGACGAGCCCAGTACAGTCACGCAGACCAAGGGAAGCTGCAGATGGAGCTACTCCGATAGCAGCAGATGTGATTAAATCGCTTGTGACTAAACCCATCTTATCAGTCACTACGAGGTCATTGTCAACATTCACAAATGAAACGCTTATCCACTCAGCGAACCCAACGACACAGCGTCATGTTCTCAAGACACATTTATCCAAAGCGACTTGAAAGCAGGGGTCAGGCAGTCCCAGGAGCAACTGGGGATTAAGGGCCTCGCTCATGTTGAAATGATTTTTTAAGAGCACAGAAAGACAAAAGATGAGTGAGGCAAGAAGTAGACCAGTAGGGGGCAGTACCTGGTAGGGGCAGGGGATGTGGTACTCGCGGCAGCGCTCCATCACCCAGGTGGTCTCCCACACGGCCCGGTAGCTTTGCTCGTAGAAGTAGCAGCCGATGACAACCAGCAGGGGCACCAGGTAGAGCACGGAGAAGATGCCAATGCGGATCATGAACTTGACCAACTTGTCCTGGTTCTCCTTCTCCAGCGGGATCTCCATGCGCACGCGATTCAGTGCCACGATGCCGGCCAGGAGCAGCACCATGCCCAGCAGCACGTCGACACAGAGCGGCGCCAACACGAACCAGCGCAGGGCTGCCACGTCGTAGAGGCCCACGAAGCACACGCCGCTCACGTTGTCGCCCTCGATCTTGTTCATAGCGGTCAGGGTCACGGTCAGTGTGCCCGGGATGCCCCAGGCGCAGGCGTGGAAGAGGAGAGCCTTCTTCTCGATGGCCTCGCTGCCCCACTTGGGCACAGCAGCCAGGAACCAGGTGATAGTGAGGATGACCCACCAGACACTGCCGGCCATGGTGAAAAAGTAGAGCACCATGAAGAGAAGCGTGCAGGCCTTGTTGTGCGAGCCCTGGGTGACGGTGGAGGCCCGGTACTGGCCGGGGCTAGCGGCATTGCAGGCCACGCGGTCCTCCAGCAGGAAGCCCAGAAAGAACACCAGCGACACCATCATGTAGCACACAGCGTAGAAGATGATGGGCCGCTCCGGGTAGCGGAAGCGGGTGACGTCGATGAGGAAGGTGAGGAAGGTGAAGAGGGTGGCAGACAGGCAGACGATGGAGACGACGCCGATGAAGTAGCGGGCGAAGCGGAGTTCATCTTGACGGAGGTACATGTTGGGGCAGGACGGTGAGCAGTCACGCACCCCCAGGAAGGAGTAGCCCAGTTCGGGCTCCATCTTCAGCTCCCTTGGGCACCAGAAGCCGTAGTCGCGTTGAACAGACAGCAGCGAGTCTTCGGTGCTGGTAGCCTTGGACTGCAGGTCAACCGCACGTGGGTACGGTTCCTCGCAGTCAGGGAACCTATAGGTAGAGATCAGTGTCAATCAGATGTTACCTTTCTCCATCAAAACTTATTAAATGTGCTAGGCAGATCTTCATTTTTCACATTTTCCATTCCTTTATAAACACCTCAACCCAGTCCACATTTTCGCTCCTTCCCGGCTCCCTGCACACCTGAACCACACTGAATACCTGGCACAGGTGTGTTGGGAGCTGAGAGGGAACAAAACTGTGGACTGTCAGGGTCCCCGAGGACTGGATTGAGAAACANGTGACGGTGGAGGCCCGGTACTGGCCGGGGCTAGCGGCATTGCAGGCCACGCGGTCCTCCAGCAGGAAGCCCAGGAAAAATGCCAGGGACACCATGATGGGCCTCTCCGGGTAGCGGAATCGGGTGACGTCGATGAGGAAGGTGAGGAAGGTGAAGAGGGTGGCAGACAGGCAGAAGATGGAGACGACGCCAATGAAGTAGCGGGCGAACTTGAGCTCCTCGCGGCGGAAGTACATATTGGGGCAGGGCGGCGAACAGTCGCGCACCCCCAGGAAGGAGTAGCTCAGCTCTGGTTCCATCTTCAGCTCGCGGGGGCACCAGAAGCCGTAATCGCGCTGCACGGACATGGACGACTGGTCGGTGGGCTCGGTGCTGGCAAGCAGGTCCACGGGGCGCGGGTACGACTCGTCGCAGTCAGGGAACCTGGAGAGGAGAGATGCTAAGTGTCATTGTGATACCATTTCTAGTAGGTGTTTCTATACGTTTCTTGCTTTATCGTGATATTCCACACTTCCTTGCTGTAGGTACTGGCAGGGAAAAAATAGATATATATAGCCCATGTTAGATTTAAGTCAAAATGTTTTATTGCAATACCAAATAAAGACAAAAAGAGTCATTATCATGTTTGAGATATAGTTCGGAAAAAAATAACGATAAGCCATAGGTTGGCAAAAAAAAAAAAGCAAAAAATATCCTTAATTTTCGTGAGAAAAAAAATGTGACATTTCGGACAGAGAAATAAGTTGAATCTGAATCATTCTGGGCCAATTTTTACTTTCCCCAGTTGTCGTGCTTACCTGCCAGTACGTAGCTGATAGAGCGGTCAGATGAATACATTTTATAACGTAATTATGCCACTCACCACATCCCTGTAGTGATTACGGAAAATGGATGGAATAATATTATTTAAAAAGTGCCATTAGTGATGTTTGGGAAGGAGGCAGCGGAAAATGAGTCAGCTGACCTGCTGCAGTCCATCTCCTCCGGCCAGGGAACACCAAACATCTCCATCAGCTTCAGGCAGTCGCGCCGGGCGTGAACACAGAGGCTGCGGCAGGGCAGCGACACGCGGCCGTACTCGGTGCACACAGGGGCGAAGAGGGAGCACAGGAAGGGCCGCAGGTCCGGGGAGCACTGCAGGTTCACCATGGGGTGGAAAGGCTGCATGGGGACCGAGGACAGAGTTGTCATGGGGAGGGGAAGGTGTGTCGACTGTAAATGATCTAATCTGATTGGTCAGAATGGTGCCGACTCATTTTCTATAACTGCAAGCAAACAGCAATAAACCAATGTATGATTATGATCTTTAATTCTAACTCACGATACTTTTTAAAATGGCTGGAACCTAAACGGAAATGTTTAACCATTCGGTGGGATAAAGCAGTTCTCTTAATAAATGCATTTTCTGCTTGTGAACATGAAAATTATGTCTTTAGGTGCAAAGGTGAGAGCTAAATGTGTGGTAACTATGGTATAAGTGGGTTAATGCAACCCAAGACATAAATGATACATATGCAGAGTATATTGTACAGCTTGTCGTGCCTTAATCGTTACTGTAAAAATCTCTCAGGAAAGCACTATTCCAGGGTTCTTCAAATCTGGACCTCGATTCCAAATCCAGGCCTTGTTTTCAGTTCTCCCAGGTAGTTAGTTTAATAATTACTGATTCTGATTGGTCAGAGGCTTCACATCTGACTGACAGGTAAAGGAAGGCTGGAAAACCAGCAGTGTTTGGACCTCGAGGATCGTGATTTGAATAACCCTGCACTATTCCATTCACCGTTATAGAAGACAAGAGGAAATTATGGCTTGGCTTTAAACCAAAGAACCACGCCCACATGCTTCCCCATTCACTTTAAGCTTTTATTTATTTATCTGAGTGACACACAAGTGAGGAAAGCATGGAGTCAGCATCCCTTGGAGCAGCTGGGATTAAGGGCTCAGAAAAATACACAACAGGGGCCTGAATTAACGTCCAAAGCAAAAGCGTGTATTGTAAATATCGCAGGGCTCACTTTACCAACGTTTAAGATTAGGCAGAGAGACTACTTGGTGAAACAAGTGAAATGTTTCCACTTATCATCACAGTATATAATTCTCAGATTAAATTTATTTATAAACCAACTGCATTACAAATACTTTCAAGTTATTGCCAAACAAGACCATCTTTGGATATTGAATGTCTTTCAGTTAAGAACTACATCAGACCTAATCTATGTGCTACAAAGCAGATGGGTTGATCCTACAAAGGTGGGGCGGAGATGCTAGTGATGTAGCAAGAGATCGGGGCAAAACGGAAGCAGCCCCACTTATTATTTATGACCATATGCTAACGTTGCACCAGCGTCGCCAAGACACCGCTCTGAAGGCTGCCGCAGTCTGGCATCTCACCGTATTCAGATCAAGGAGGACCCGGGGCTGAAGTGCATCAGCTCTGGAATAGCACCAATCAGGGACATATACAGGGGTCAGGCCTACTGAAAGCTGATTGGACCCCAGAGTGCTCTGTCACCTGTCACTCACCAATTCAAAATATGTCATTGGCTATTGAAAAGGTTGGCACGTCTTATGCACCCAGCTTTAAAAAAAATCACGGAATACCCCCGGTACCAATGGGACTGCTAACTCGCTACAACATAGCTTGCAAAAATCTTAGAAAATCTTTGATAACTGGTGTGGATTGTGGGACTTTAGTCCTAACAAAAAAATACAAATACATAAGATTATACATGAATTTGGCATCCCAGCCAGTGAGATAACTTAACCACACTGCAATAGGGGTGATGGGGGCGTGACCTAGNAAGGATTAATAATATGAATGTAAAACAATGCCTCAGTAGGCAGCTCTGCGGACTCACATCTCCAGAGTTGGGGGTTCGAGTCTCTCTGATGGACTTTCATCCCCCATCCAGGGTGTATTCAGCCTTATGCTATCTGGGACAGAAGCTCCAACCCCCCACCCCCCTCAGAATAAGCAGTTGCAAGATTAAAGGACTGATTACTTCTGCTCCTGAAATACTTCTTTTGGAAGAAACTCCTGCAGTCAGCGGATGACAGACAGGAGTCATTATCTAAACATAATCTGAACGTTACACCCCTTAGCTACTCTCACAGTGGATACGTTTGGCAAACTTCCACATGCACCTTACGTGCTCAAGCGGTGCGTGCTCAAGGTCCACATGGGATTTACACGGACACAAAGCGGTGTGCATGCAGACAGCGGTCAGCAGGCTCAGGTTCTATTAAGATAATAGTGCATAACAGTATTTTTGAACTTTAACCACTCATTTGCCGGATTATATCTCAGAGATTCCAAATTACCCGAATAGTGTCGCGTTTAAAAATATTGTAGAAAATACAGCATAACATAATCTCTGGAAGGTATGAATATAGATGCTGTCCACGCCTAGCAGATGGTGTTAGGAAAAGGGATTCATAACTGAAAATTTGGAGATCAGGATTCAAGAACGAGAAGAAGCTACTGTAACCCTAATGTGACGTTACATTTCATTCAAAATAAGCATAGGCAGCCATATGAAAATGTAAGGAAAACAGGCTGTGAATGTGGTGGGAGTGGGGATGAACGTCAAACACCGCTAGCTGGACTGGAACCCTTAAATAAATGGATCTATTACACGGAAAGCAAATTAGGCTATAAGGCTTTTTCCACCTCGGTGGTTCTCAAAGATGTGGAACCGTTTTCTCACAAACATCTGTCATCAGAAAAAAATAAATTATTAAATAAAATCAGTTGCGCAGATGCCTTACCCACACAGTACCAGGCAAGCGCTAACAATTCACATCAGCCGTTTATTTACATTAATTTCTGTAGCTACTATTCGCAGGTTTTATTTGTAATACTACAGCTTAGTAATATAATCTACATAGTACAATAGCCATAAGCTGCATTTCTTTTAGGGCTGGATCAGAGACTGAATGTATTATACGTAAAACACTTATTACTAGACCCTGCTGAATATATTTATTAATCTTTTCATCTGAAGTACGCAGGGCTTTGCATTATTTAACAAAAACAAACACGGTTAAAGGTGTCGTGCAAGTGAAAGCACATATCACTAAAGTGAAACTCACGCTTCTGGGTGGTCATGGAAAGTGGCAGAAATACACCAGATGTCACCGATCGCTGAATCTTACAATTATATGCTGCAGGTAAATGTGAGGTATGTGTCCGTCACCATGTTTTATTCATACGTATTTTATCTGTCCCCTCGTTCACCACAATTCGCACATCCATTTGTTCAGATTCGTTTCACCCCCAGTAAGCCGAAACCCCAGTGTCAATGTCATTTGTCATTTTACTGTCAACCCAAAGGATACTGCCAGGCTCTCTATACTACTATGGCGCTTTTCCACTGGCATACAGGAACCGACCCGTACCTGACCCATACCAGGAAGGGAAAGTATTTACAGCGTGGTTCCAGCTCGCTCCGATTTTCCTTCAATACAACGGGATGCGGGATAATAGTAATAATGCATGATATATGGCCTTTTTTCCTTCAGATAATCCATGCATATCGACACAGATCACCGATATGTCTGTGCATTTCGACCAATCAGATGGTGGTGACACAATCAGCTCGGTTTAGTCACACATTCGGTCCTACTAGTAAGCAGGCCCATGTCAGCGCAAGTATGGGTTGAGGAGGCTCGCATAACTTACAATGGATAACAGTCTCTTCGCGGTACGGCTTGGGGAGGGCTCGGTTCTTGCCGGCAGTAGAAAAGCACCACTAGTTATAACTTTAGTAATACATCATTCCTTGCCGGCATGTGCTTCCTGGCAATGGTACCAGTCTAATTTACCTCAGGCCTGACAATCATTTTGATGGGTTTTAGAAACTGCATAAGCCCAGAACTTTGACTATATTAATATGGTTTGTCGCACCAATGAGAACCATGGTCATGGTTCAGTTCCCCTAATGTCACAATGCATCGCATTGGATGCCTCACTGAATGCTGAGTGTGAACATGCATGCTGTACATCACGGCCCAAACCATCCATTGTGAGGCCAAGACAAAGGGTCTCCTGTGGCTTTGTTGGGGGGGGAGGGAGTGGGGTTAGCTTTCTCTCTGACCTCTGTGGGGCTTTTATTCTACTTTAACTCTTGATCCCCCCGCTCAAATAGAGCATATCGCCAAAAGTTGATCTATAGCCTCAACTTTAGGGGAGCCTGATTCGAAAGTCATATCAAAAATAAGAGCAGAATGGCTTTCGTCACACATTGGCAGCTCGTCATTCAATATGCAGTTCATTTAGGTTCTCTATGACAGCGTTTCTCAAATTGGTTCTCAAGGCCCCATAGACAGTCCATGTTTTTGCTTCTACCTGGAGCTGGCAGGGAGCAGAAGTGTGGACTGTCTGGCAGGGAGCAGAAGTGTGGACTGTCTGGCAGGGAGCAGAAGTGTGGACTGTCTGGGGATCCCTGAGGAGCAGGTTGAGAAACACTGCTTTATAACACTGGTTACCAGCTGATGGACTCTGCTCCACGTTAGGACCAAAAACGACTGAATCTAGACCGTGTGATCATTGGGGAAGCCACCTTTCCCCCAGTGGACCTTGACTTAGTGTTTCTGATGGAATTTGGCCCTTGAGGAAAAACTGTTGGGAACTCCTGCTCTATATTATTATCTCCTAAAAGAACTATTCCATAAGCTTAACTCCCAATAATACCACCAGTATGGAAATGTTACATCCTATCAACACTTTAGGAATGTTGAGCAATTCTGACTTCTTTAACCTTTGGTTATTTAAAATACACTTGCTTTTTATTATTTGAAAAACATCCACTGACATAAGTCAGTCAGATTCAGCTCTACAGCAGTCTACACTTTCCACCTTATACCCCAGGAGCCGGGACGATTTATGTATCATCACCAAAGGTAAGATGCCAGATCAACGTTTCACCAACTGCACCAGACAGAGTACAGTAGCAACAGCCGAACCCACAACAAAATCAGAGTAGACAGTGCAATAAAAAAATATCAGGTTGAGTTTTTGGCAAGAGGTGAAAAACATCAAATCTGCCCTGCAGAGATCTCCTGACAGAAGGATTAAAATATCATTCATTCTCTCCCCTATCTACCCAATTATTTATGAAATCGAGAGAAAAGAGGACACGATATGAAAATAACTTCGGTGG